TAATTGAAAATACCGTCAATAACTAGCTCCTGACAAATGCGGTTAAAATATCTCAACTCTCTTTAAAAAAAAAATACAAAATAAAATAAAAACAAAATTTAAATAATAAAAAAGTAAATAAATAAAAAACTTAGTGGTACACCTGCCAACAGTGAAACTCTCACCAAAACACTTCAAACAATACTCCTTACGTTCTTTTTCTTTTTTCACTTTTGTTATAGTTCCTCATTTAATGTATCAAAGTCTCAATGCACAAATGTAATTTAGCAGTAATAGCTTTTCAATCAACGTATTGTATTCGGATATGGTAAAGTTATCGTTTTATGTTATTCATATTGTATTATTGAACTTTATTGTAAGTAGACTAACATCTCCCTTTGGAGAGTACGGCGCAATAAAGAGATACTATTTAAAAAAAAAAAAAAAATCTCGCGCACCATAAGAATTCTCTTTCATTGGATTGTTAAGTTAGTATCTCACGCACCGTAAAAATTCTCGTTCATTGGATTGTATATCGAAAAGTAACATCCAAGCAAAGACAGATTTAGCAATGACCGATATGAAAAAATCTACTGAGCTTCAAGCTTTTAGAAGACGAAAGGTTGGATAAAAAGTTACTGTAAAAATTTCCTTGTGTATTTGTGTTGTTCTATCTTGAGACGAACTCAAAGTCCGGCAAAATTTACTTCCTGGCGACTATGAAATATACATGATGTGCCTCCTTATCGCCACCGTTTACTGGCATAAATCACTAGAATTTGTGAAATATAATCTAACATAACACTCTTACCTTAATTATTTACGATTTTATGAGCTGTTTCGATGATCACGTTATGCTCTATCACATTCTACCCAGAATTGAGTTCCAGATTATATATCTTCTCCATCTTATTAAATCAGTTGCACGACAAGCGTGACACATAAATTCAAAGATGAATCAACCTCCGAAACACCAAGAGAGGGGTTTTTTTCCTCTTTGCATGATATCTAGAAAAAACCTTTCTGGAATTACTGCATTCAAAAAACTAAAATGTCCAGATCCATCAATGATTCCTTTGGCGGCGGAAGTCAAAGAATGGTTACAAAAGTCAATTTGATTGACGAACAACAAACTGATTTTGCTAATTGATCTGTTGTTTATGCGTCTCAACTAACATGGAGATTTACTGTTCATTTAAATCGTTCGCTGGTGGAAAATGTGGGTTTAGTTACCGAGAAGACCGAAGTTGCATATGTCAAGTCGTTTCTTTGCATAGTTGTAAAAAAGACATTTCAAGTCACTTCATCTTATTTTGTCGCGTGCCGGCATCTTCGAGACGATGATTTTACAATTTGCCCCACACATAGATGTTGGGTGGAGTCGTGGTTCCAATAGTAGATGTAGAGTGCCTAGAGAGGTGTCCAGCCATTGCAATAGTAGGGTTAAGCCGATTCCAAAAGCCGATAAGGGAATTGGCAAGCGTGTATCACAAGTAGTACTCAAGATGTCTGGAAAATTCATACAGCCTGGCTCCGGTAAGTAGGCTACTTACCATCGTGAGCAAAATTACGCGTCCCGCCAGACTTAAGTCTCGATAAGATAATTTAGCCTGCATAAACAAGTATTTGTGTCCTTTTCTGTGTTTTTTTATGCTTCCCTCGCTCTTAAAGAGGATTTATACAGATATAAGAGTCGTACCGAGTTTATATTATACAGTTACAAAAGGTCGTCCAGAATGAGTGTTTCGTTCTGGAATGAAAACCCCAGTAAACTCTATTAAAGTTGACATGGCAACCAGGTGGACAACCAAACATGGTTTGATGCTACTCTGGTTTACAGATTTAATAAATGTAACCGAAGAAGTTACAATTCATAGACCCAACGTTTCGACACTCCTGTCTAGTGCCTTCATCAGGAGTGATCTAAACGCTGCAACAAGAGGTCCTTTCATACGTTCACTAATTAGCTGCCTTTTTCCAGACGAGGTGTAAATAGGCGTCAGGAAGTAAGCCGCCATCATCACGATTTAATGGAGCATAGGCGGAGTTAATATGCCAAGCCGTCCAAACAAAGGCGCTGGTGGTAACGCCGATTAGTGGGGATAATTTTAGACTTATCCCACCCAATAGTGTGGTTATTTAGGCATGTGTGGTCCGATAAAGCTGAATTTTCTTTTTTGCAAAAGAAAACCGTACTGCATTGGTTACCGGTGAAGTTCCGAATTTGCCATAAAATCGCTGTGATCTCTTTCAAGACTATTCACAATATGGGGCCTACGTTTTTAAGTGACCTCATAAATATTAAACAATGTTCTCGCTATAACCTGCGGAGTTTTGTAGGCGTTATTTCGCAAGACTCTACCGCTAAGTTCAAATGCACTCTTGGGGACATATCATTCACTGCGGCAGCTCCAAAGATATGGAACGGTTTACCGGACTACATTAGGAAAGAGAATGATTTTGATATGTTTAAGAGACTCATTAAGACGAACTATTTTAAAGAAGCCAATAGCGACCTGTCTTAAGCTATTGTAGGTTTATTTTATCTTCTCTTTTATACTTCTTACTTGTTATGGGTTATGCTAAATTACCTATTAGCTTTAGTCAAGAAATATAACACCTTTTTTTAAATTAGAATGTACGTGTGGGATTCGTGCACGATGTGGTGCTCTACAGCGGTTACATATACGAAAGTCAAGTATGAATTGCAAAAACCTGTAGGAGGGCGTATGTTGGTGCTTGCGCGGGACACTAGTAACACTGGAACGTAAAATCATGATTCGTGCAACTGAAGTAAGAGCGAATTGAAATTTCTGAGCATGTCATTCTCATTTTTCTCTTTTTTCCGGTTCATTTCTATTTAGAATGAAAAAATTGATATGACTGTGTAGTCTTATCAAACAAATGTATACAAAATTTGCACGCGCCTTGATTGGCGGCGAGTGTCAAATGATCGGCGGATAGAAGTGGATAAATTAAAACAAAAATTTACCAGCATAAAAGTTTAGAATTCAAGCAAAGAAAAAAAAAAAGGATGAAATTGACGAATAACACGTCAATTTGTTACTGGGTTACTTGAAGTGCATTGGATGTGACTTCAAGTGTGATTTACGAATGAACTGCTGCTTTCACGAGTGAGAGAAAACTAAGTTAGAAATTAAACTACTCGTGAGGCGTGGACTTTCGCCAAACATGGGACCCGAAAGCTGTTTGAAAGGGTTCATACTTCAGACAGTCATCATCGAAAAGAGAGACTTGAGGTTGGGTAAGAGAACTTTTCTTTCGCTGTATAGCAAGCATTTCAACGATTTTGTTGAGCTGCTGATGGAGTTGAAGCATTGCGTTGTAGGCTTTTTTACTGGGTGAGGAAAGCACTTGACATGTATCTGTAACAGGTGGTTCGTCACTCCTTGCGATTGGTCGCTGGTGCCAATCGGTTATGTTCGGGTTGAAATTGGGACGAGCGCATTGTCTAAATGGAACTGAAGAGGCTACACGAGGTTTCACATTCAAAGTACTTAAAAGGATTGGGAATGTCGAAGTGCGGATTGGGCACGATGACTTTGTGATCGAAATGAACTGTAGGACCAACGAGTTCTGCCAGGAAGGTAGCGATTCGTTGTAGAGCTTGAGATTTAGAAAGTTCAGTTTCGAGAGAGCTAGGTGTTTTTTTCTTTGCTAAATATTAAATTTCTGCTGCTATTGGGAGTGCCGTTCCTGGAAAATCGTGGCTTTAAGTCTTGATTCTGCGACTTGTGTAGGTTTCTTAGCTCTAGTCATTGATATAGACGACATATTACTTATACGTGAACCACTGCGATGAGCAAAATGTCATTTTCTTCTTGAAATTCGAGAAGAACCGATTTGAGTGGCTGAGTGCTCAGGCGGTGGCTGGGCGTTGAATTGCGCTGTCTTTTGTTTCCCTCGGATCCAGCTTTAAGGTTGTTAACAGAAGTCTTCTTTGCGTGCAGACTCTCGATAAAGTGGTCGTGGAAGCTAAGAATATTTGACTAATCGGTAGATGGGATAATTAAATAAAACGCGGTTCTGTATACCATTCAAAGACAACAACGTACTTGGATAAATTATTCTTTATGACGGCTACGTTTTTTTCGTCTGTATTTCTTTTCCCTTTTTCGTATTCACAACTGAAAGAAATCCAGAATTGTTTAAATTAGAGAGCTCTTCGACTTTTATTTTACCGCGCTCTTCGGTGGGCACGAAAGACGTACTCAGCCTTAAAGGTAGGTTCAGAAGGTGAAATTTAAACGCTCTTTATTTGATGTTCTGGCTTGTAAAATCGAAACATCTATCAGATGTTACACCTGACAAAATTTTTTTTCAGCTCCGAAGCAGAAGAACAATGCTTTTCGAGACTGATAACGAGTCACAAAATTTGGTAGGATAAAAAATTACCGGGCGCACTTGCCTCACTGAAGAGAAGACAGATTTTTCCCTGAAAAGACTGGCAAAATTTTCCTAGTGCACCTGGGCCCTTATAAGTGGTGTTTGATTCTTAGAGACTAGTTGAGAATTTACCTGTATATTTAAAATGTAGCATCGATAATTAGAGAAAGAAAAGTCTCCATTTAGATTGTATTCGTCGTTTTAAATCAGGAATGATTTGTAGTGGAAGTTCGATTTTATCAGACAGAGGGTATGAGATGCTAAAAGCAACTGACGTGGAAGTATATGGCTAAAAATATGTTGCCTAACGAGACAATTGGTAGTGTTGGACCAGTTTGTTGCTGGGGGAATATTGGTGAATATTAGTCTCCTAGTAACGAGGTTGTTGCTAAGAAAGATCTATCTTAATGCGCAACCGGTTTGTTGCCGCAAAGAGCCGAAACATACGACGAGCTAAACGATGGCGTCGAAGTTTGGAATATGTTTATTGTTGTATGGTGAATCGTTCGTAGACAATAGAAATGGTTTTAGATAAAAAAAAATAATAATTAAAAAAAATAGGAAAGTCAAGATGAAGAATTTCCATGTGGAAATTGCTTTTAAGATTGCTGGCGAGTAGGATACAAAACAGGGGAACACTGGAACTATGATTTTTACTAAAATTGTTCATCGCATGGTAAAAAGGTAATTTTGCTTAGTTAAAGTTTGTAAATGTTTTTGTCATTCGGTGTGTTGTTTTGGTCCCATTAAGATGTACGTATTAATCACAGTTCAAAGACTCGAAGAGTTAATATTGTTGTCGACTTGAAATCATTTTGAACAAAAAAAGACCATCGTTTCCAAGCTTATTTATTTGGTGATCATTTCCTTTATTCTCATGACCTTACTGTGTGATTTAGGGCCATCACTGTTATTCCTGTTGCAACTTTGGCTGAGAAAAATGCCAATTGTGAGGATTTTCAGGGCGCAAACTACCTCTACGTGGACAACGGTCCAAATCGTAGCGTGCGGTCTTGACTTCTTCTTATAAATGGATGAAATTTCGTTCTCCATACTATTCCTTATAATGTGTTCAAATTCTCATACAATGGTTCCTCTCGTAACTTAATTAGCACCGAGTCACACATCATGTGACGCTTTCATGAATTAATCGTTTTGCTTTTTCTCGAGACATGAGCTTCGGACGCCTTTTGTGTGACTAATATGTTATTTCATTGAAGTGACAGCCAGTTTTGAGAAGTAATATTGATTAACAAGATAACATTTTATTAAAAAAAAAAAAAACATGGGTTGTCATAACTGTCACAATTTGTTATTGGATTCTGAAATTGAATGCATTGATGACTTATCATTAAATCAGTGTTGTGCAGCTCTTTAGGTCATGTATAGGCTATATCAAGTTGCAAATGTTTGAAGTTATGCTATTAACATATAATGCAGCATTTTGATATGAAGCTCAGTACATAATGGTGTAGAAGAGTATACTAGGAAGGTAATGAAGAAGAATCTTGTTTATTCGTCCTCAGCATCATTTTCATCAGACGTTGTTGACATGTTCTCAAGGTTTGATGTGGCAAACTGTGGGAAAAGAAGTCATTAACAGAAGGAGTGCATCAGAAGGAAGAAATGACATTTTAAGTGGGCATAAAAACTTCACAAAGGTGTATGATTATTGCTCTAGTGTGTCAATGTAAATTTTTGTGTTTTAACTATCAATGGTAATTGCCTTTCTTGTCTAATTGTAGTTGTGATTGAATTTAATTGTAAACTACATGAGTTGAAACTTACTGTTTTGCACACCTCCAACATATGATTAACAAAGACTCTGTTTTGTTGTGAGTTCTGTGAAATATAGGAAAGATAATTTGTCTGTAAAATGATGTGATCCACCTTAACCCTTCAACCACTAAGAGTGACTAACATCTAATTTCTCCTAACAACATCACCCTTGAACCAAACATTAAGGTCATGAGAATAAAGGATATGATCACCAACTAAAGAAGCTCTTGATTGTTGAACAAATTCTCCTTGTCAGAACCCTGGGAAATGTCTAGGAAGTAGTATGGAGATTATTCATACTGATGCTAGGGAGGAGAGGGTTAAATACATACTTATAGTTGACAAGATCTACAGAGGAAACCTGCTTTTTAGATTAAATTTGTGATGTCAGTGAATTAAATCTTTTAAAAAATGATCAAATGAATACACAATTAAGGTGTTACACTATGTTGAATTGGGTTTTTCACTGTACCAAAAGTTCACTTAAGGTTTTAAAGAATTTTGTTAGTTCCCTTTCACTCCCATGATCGAGTGACCAAGACACAGTTTCTCCATACAAAATCAATACAATACCAAGCAGACAACTAATGAGAATAAAGACAAATATTAATCAGAAGATTATTACTTGATCCAATACCAAATTCTCCAAACTAACTGAACATCAAAAGAACTGTATGACAGTCAGTTAGGAGAGTTGCCAATGAGATCCTCGGAGTTAAAGGGTTAAGATTGTATTTTCTATTGGAAATATTTGAAAAGTGTTACCATTATTTAGCTTTATTGGTAATCTTCAATTCTAGGAATCAATTTAAAAAAATTCACTTATCATGGCTGGTGATTGGCACAACAGATTACCAATGGAATTGAGTTGGGTGTCAATGTTCGATAAATTTTGAATCATTACTATTAATGATTACTTAATTTTCTCGAATTGATCTAGAAATGAATGAACTGAAAGGCAACTGTGGCATCTAAAATGTTTCCACAGAAATGTTTTCACAAACAGCTGATATAGTGAGTGTTAAGAACATAAATCCTACTTGAAATGAACTGAACTGTCTTGCAACAGTATTATTTGTTTATTGTAAGCAGAATTAAGCAGTAATTTACAAGCTATTTTATAACTATATTCTTACAGTGCCATTGTACATTTCTTCTCCTCATTGCTGCCTGTGTAGCATGTTCTGCAAAAAAAAAATTGCATTCAAGTCTGAGTACTTAAGTTAAGTTTCTTTTCAATGAAAATTTCAATTGACAGACATCTTGCAGATTTTTTGGATGTTTGGTGTTCTATGATTGGATTAAAGGAAAAAACTTTCTTATAAGTTGGAGTTTTTGTGTGTGTGTGTGTGTGTGTGTGTGTGTGTTGTGGGAAGAACTGTTTTCAGGATGTTCATGATGTCACTGCTGAATGAATGGATGTTCTGTGTTATGTGCAAGTAAGGAACTATGAATTAAAATGTATGCTCATTCTGTTAGGATTGATAAGATTTGATCAAATTTCATAGGCTGGGTATGGTACATAAAGATGTATCTGTCAATTTGGAGCTTCAACATCCCCCTATCACAGCAACCTCTACAGGTACTTGAAGTTTTGAAGATTAGTTTGTTCCTGGGGCCAAAGTGTTGTTCAAAGTCCCCACTCAAAGTGTTGGATTTAATAGTTAATTTTTGTAAAAGGCAATTGATAGTTAGTGCTATTTTTCTGTTTCGCTGTACCAGTGATTTATAGTTAACATTATAAAATAATTCAAATAGTACGCGCGCTCTGATTGGCCATAAAACCATTTTACATGAGCCTATGTAAACACGGTTTTCATACTGAATCTACTCGCGGAGTTCTCCATGCTATTTATTTAGCAGTAACTCAGTTTCTTTAAGTTTCTTTTGAGTACAGTAATGGAAGAAGAAGATTTTCCTAATTTTTCTTTGGAGTTTAATTTTCCCAGTATTCAAGAAACGGCCAAAAAGCCAAATGAACAACAACAACAAGCATGTCGCTTTCCTTCGTTGCAAGAAGAGGCTCTTTCATTAGTTATTTTATAAAAGAAATGTAAAATGGTTTCCGTGTTTACATAGCCTGATGTAAACACTTGGGAAGTTGGGAGAACATTTGATAAGCTGGAAACCACTCCACTTCATGTTGTGGTTTCCTACACTTATCTCGTGTTCTCCCAACCTCCTGCATGTTTACATCAGGCTATGTAAACACAGAAACCATTTTACATTTCTTCATTTTTAATTGTTTGATGCAACAACACAGGTGATTTGGGTTCATGAGAATGACAAGTGAATTTATGAACAAAATAATACAATAATTGTTTGTGCTAGCAGTAGTTAGTGGGTTTTAGCAGTTGTGGTTCATATTTTAGGTATAAATGACTTTCCATCTTCACTAAGGTTTTAATCATTATGCTAAACTTTGCAGAACTTTTTTTCTGAGTTGCCCCAGGTTGAAAGGGGGGTTTACAAGTTTGAATTTATTGGTGCATTACCTCTGTTCCTATCAGCTAGCTGTTTGGTGTTCATTTGTGCTACAGCATTTGCAGCAAATTCTGTTCATATTTTAGGTATAGATGACTTTCCATCTTCACTAAGGTTTTAATCATTATGCTAAACTTTGCAGAACTTTTTTTCTGAGTTGCCCCATGTTGAAAGGGGGGTTTACAAGTTTGAATTTATTGGTGCATTACCTCTGTTCTACCTAACAAGTTCCTATCTTTAGCTCAAGCTAGCTGTTTGGATTATTTTTGTTCATTTGTGCGATACAGCATTTGCAGCAAATTCTGTAAAAAAGTAATAGTCAGTGATATCAATTCAATATCAAAAAGATGATTAAGGAAATCAAATAAAACATCAATTACAGCACAATTTGTTGATCAAATACAAAATTCTCCAACAAACCAAGATTGTTATTTTCCTGCATATAACTTACAACATATTTTGTAACAAAATGTGAGAAATATGCAGTCAGTAATAATAAAATGAACAACCATATTTGTGGCATATTACATAGAGCATTTAATCATTAGAAAGTTAATTTGCGATGTAATTAGAGAATTTTCCCTCTTCTTCTAAGTTGCCCCATGTTGAAAAAAGGATTTTAAAGTTTTGAATTTATTGGTGCAAATTACCTCTGTCTTGCAATTGTTACATTTCCACTTTGTGATCTCACTAATATTTGTTACAAATTCTGTACAAAAGTAATACAAATATGTGGTCACTGATGTTGCAGTTGACAACCATATTCATGTGGCTTATAACATAGTTCATTCATAAACATAGAAAAAGAGACTCTTTTTGGTGAGAAAACAAAAGGTATATATATTTCATGTATTTTTTTCAAATGGCATTATTTCAAAACAGGTGTGTATATGTATAATTATGTATATGTATATGCATATATCTAGTTATATCTGAGTGAATTCACCAAAACAGACCCAAAAAAACAACAAACTCAAAGTGAATATCACAGAAAAAAACTTTCAAAATTGAACATTTTTAACCCCACCCCACCCCTAGCCAAAATGATTAAGTGCATGAGAAGTGATGCCATGAAGTATGAGTCTGAAATGAATATACGGACAAAGTATAAAACAAATCCAGCCTCATAACAACTCAAAACAAGATGTCCACTTTTATGCAAAAAACAAATTCCTTGTAACTTGCAAGTCAAAAACCTACTCTACCCACTTTGCACACAAAGCCATTTGCAACCCCCCCTTGGGAAGGTTGGTGGTTGGGTTACATTTGGTTACTAGCCTTAATGTTTAAAGCCCTCTGCACTTTTTTTGGCCAGGCTCATTTAAAGGTGGGCAATGCCAGCTTTCCAGTGATTAAACCTTGCAATGTCAATTGAGCTCTCTTTTCCAAAGGCATGCTTTTGACACCCAACCACCCTCCAGCCATGGAGTGTTAGCTTAGTGAGGAGGGCATTGGGTTCTGTTAGAAACTGCAAAACCAAACATCCCCATGCCCCCCTCTTCAGGGGTTGAAGTGTGACAGGTTGCAAGGCTGATTACCAGTTTTGCAATGCAGGCTTTCAACCACAAGGAATAAGACAAGTGTTTTCTAGCCTCAGAGAAAAATGCCAGTCTACCAAAGGGTTTCAAAAATCTATCCTCTCCACCCCCTGAGGTTTCCATACAGAGTCATTTGCATTGTTTGGATTGTTTGGTGGCCAGGCT